CATTTTTTTTTCTCTAGAGGTGTTGAATATGGTTGCGTTCTGGTGGGCTTGCCTGACTGTGCAAACACTTCTGGAGTATAGTGGTGTGGGCTTTCACTGTCCAAGATCTGTGGATCTAGTCACATTTCTTAAACATGTCCTCCTATAAATGGTCTTGGATGATAATTGTAGCCAGTGCTGTCTTGGGATGATGGATACTGTTTGGGGAAGGCTGGGTTTTTATATTGTGGTAAGCCAAGTATGAGTAACTCTTAGCTCTCCAGGGATTATAGAGTTTTTCTACGTTAAGAGCAGAATTGGGTGATACAGTGAGGCAAACAAGGCAGTACTGTATGTACTACATAAATACATGTACCTGGAATTTTTGGATTTTCTTTCTGGATTGGGGGGGTTGTTTTTTAAATGTTAAAGTACACTGTGTGACGAATATGCTCCATTTACATTGCATGATACCTTCCTTTTATTGAATGGCCCTTCAATAAAGCAGCAGTAGCATATAGTAAAGTTCTAAATACTCCACTTTCTTAAGAGCTTTGGAAAATCAGATTTGGTTTTTTTTGTTGTTTTTGTTTTTGCTAATCTCTCACTTCAGTTTATGTGTGAAGCACAGTTTCGTTCTTTGTTTTCTCATTGAACAGAAGGCTTGTCATACCCTTGTCTCATAGCTTATGTTTCAGCCAGCCAAACTTGGAGAAAACTTCTCAAGTGCAGTTATGTTGGTATGAAACCATACATTCCTGCCAGGATTTGTTGGAATACTATATTCCTCATCAATGCTAATCTGGCACCATAGAAGAAGAAGTCTTCTTTAGCTTCTCAGCATTGGCCAATAATTTTCCCCAAAGCAATCCATCCATTGCAATCATCCAGATAGTACATATATATATACTGGCAGTTAAAAGGAAGAAACAGCTGCGATCGCACACTACTCCCAGAAGCACGAAGCTGAAGACACCAGCCTGAAGATGACGAATGTGACTTCATCGAAACGTCGCCAGGACACTTCCAATCTTACGCAGGAGAGAACCCGAATGACCAAAGACCTACATACAAACACCCGCGAAAACCTCAGAAAACATATATACAGTGTGTGTGTGTGTGTGTGTGTGTGTGTGTGTGTGTGTGAGAGAGAGAGAGAGAGAGAGAGAGAGATCAGAGTTAATTAGGTGATTATACATATATATGTGTGTGTGTATTATATACATATACATATATATATATAGGGAAAGGGTTATATATATATGTGTGTGTGTGTGTGTGTGTGTGTGTGTGTGTGAGAGAGAGAGAGAGAGAGAAAGAGAGATTAGAGTTAATTAGGTGATTATACATATATATGTGTGTGTGTATTATATACATATACATATATATATATATATATATGCAGGGAAAGGGTTTTATATATTATATGTGTGTGTATGTATTATATACATATATATATGAAGGGAAAGCTTTTATATATTATATGTGTGTGTATGTGTGTGTATTATATACATATATATATGAAGGGAAAGGCTTTTATATATATATATTGTGTGTGTGTGTGTGTGTGTGTGTGTGTGTGTGTGATTAGAGTTGATTAGGTGATTAGAGTTTTGAGGCAGGGAGACTGAACTCTTATTGACTGCCATTCATAGGTTGGTCTGCTTGTCTCAGGGCTCAGATGACTCTGGATATAAAGAGGTGAGCAGTGAATGGCCCTGAACTGGGCATTATGAGAAAGACATTTGGGAGCTGCCTCCTGTGACTACCGTGACTTCGTGTAATTCCTACGAAACGTTTACCTTGTTTACTAGCAGACCACCTTGGATAAAATCCCGAATACAATTTAATAAGTAAACAAAAGTCAGAGTTTTACAGACCTTTGGTACGACGTCTCAAAGTAGCCATTCAGCCCGTCCGGTGTATGTCGACCCCTCTATGACGGGTAAGGTCACGATTCTGTGACTGTAATATAATTGCCTTGGTTTTGGTTCACTGTAAGGCATACATTTAGCAATTACGTTTTTGCAAGCCCAACTATAAAAAGGTGTATCTGTATATCCATCAGTAGAGCTGAACAAACTAGAGTGAAATAAGCTATGGCAGAACCTGAGACACCGTGGCCTCACCCTCCAAACTTCTCCACAATGGCTTTGCGGGACTGTCCCCTGGGTGGTATCCTTGGCCTGCTAATCTCTCTCCGGTCAAAAGTAGGCCTCTTCTTTTTCTCTTTGGCAGCAGCTGCTTCCTCTGGTGCAGCAGAAGGGGGCTCTTTCTCTCCCTTCAGGGCGGCTTCAGGGCTGAAAACCAGAAACAGAAACACACTGAGACTGAAGCGCTGGAGAAGAAGTGGCCCTGAGTGGGTCTCTGTCCTCGGCTTTCAGGCAGAGCCTTTCAGAAGAGATGGGGAGATCCCTTTCTGCCCACTCTGCAGTAAAGAATGCTAACAGGTTGGCTCGTGGTTCCCTGGAGAATCATTTTTAAAAATGCCATAAGTTGTAGCTAGAAATGTGAGGATTTGGGGAAAAGGATGGCAAAGAACCACTACCGTCTCCAGCCTTGACTTCTTCCCAATTTTTCTCATAACAGAATAGAATAGAATAGAATAGAATAGAGACCTTGGAGGTCTTCTAGTCCGCCCCCCTGCTCAAGCAGGAGAACCTATACCATTTCAGACAAGTGACTTTCTAACCTCTTCTTAAAAACCTCCAATGATGGAGGCCCATGACTTCTGAAGGCAAGCTTTTCCACTGGTTAATTGTCCTCACTGTTAGGAAGTTTCTCCTTAATTCCAGGTTGCTTCTCTCTTTGGTTAGTTTCCAACCATTGTTTCTTGTCTTGCCCTCTGGTGCTTTGGAGAATAATTTGACCCCCTCTTGTTTATGGCAGCCCCTCAAATACTGGAATACTGCTATCATGTCACCCGTATTTCTTCTTTTCTTTAGACTAGCCAAACCCATGTCCTGCAGCTGTTCCTCATTCACCAACCCCATGTTTCTCTTTACTCTTTCCAATTTTCTGAATGTTCACATCTTTATTAGCATCCTTCCTTCATATATATGACGTTTCATATATTAGGGCCAAGTTCTAGCCCCAGCACCTCCAGAAGGCATCCATTTGGGAAGACTAGTTAATGCTTTGGGGGCCTGACATCATATGCCCAATTCACTGCTTTCCTCCAAGCCTTAAGAGTTTTTTTGAGCAATCAATTTATGGCCATAGAAGGGTTTGTACTAAAAATCTGAAGTTCTTGATAGCAGCTTGAAGGCCAGGGTTTAACATTTGGAGGAAAGTGTTCATAAGGAACATTTGTCCTCACTGTTAATCCTTGTCCCATTTTGGTCATTCTAGTCATTGCCTATCTTTGATTTCTGAGTGCCCCCTGCAGAGTAAAAAGTGGTAATACAGCCTTTGAGATGGGCAGAACTGCTGCTTTCCATGATTTTCAGTCAATTGACAAGGATCCTTTTCACCCAGTGGTTTAGCAAAAGGAGCCATTAACTCACCTCTGCTTTCTTCCTTCTGTATCTAATGATAGTCCTGAAGTGGAAAAAAAACTTGAGGAAGAAATGTTTGTGTGTTTAACAGTAGGAGCTATGTTTAACTCTGAAAATCAATCTGATCCTCACTTCTTCCATTCTTAAGGGTATATTTATTTTAGAAAATATACTTGCTGTCCATCTCATATCCAATGATTATGGGTATATCTTTTGTACCAAGTTCTGATAAGAGAGTGTCAGGCTTTTGGCCATCTCTCCCACTATATCTTGTCAACCTGAATCTTGCCCATCTCACATGTAGCCCACCCCCTCTAGAAAGGCTTCCAGAGATTATCTCACCTGGCGATATCCGCTGGAGCAGCTTCTGAAGTGGTAGTTGGTGGAGTAATGCCACCTAGATTGGATTACAGACATGTGGATTATTAGTTTTTCTTACCTGGTGAACGAACCTCTATCGCATGTCTGAACTGCCGTGTCTTTAATCTCCTCTGTATCCATGTTTTGCAGTACAAAAAACAGCAGCAGAAGGTAAATCATTACAGGGAAATGGAGGCGAGACCAGCCTCATGGGGACAAGGGGCAAAATTGGGATTCCTGTTTACACTGCCAATAGCTGATCGAGGTTTAAGAGAAATATCAGTGAAGGTCAGGAGAAAAATGTCTTCAGAAGGACTGGGTAGTAATGCAGGAAGCTATGAAGTCTAGAAACATTGATTGTAGAGGATTTTGTTATTGTTGCTTCACTGGTAAAAAAATAAAATGATTTACTCAAAATTAAGTTCCAGGCAGACTATTTAGGACAGGGGTAGGCAACCTTGGCTCTTTTATGACTCGTGGACTTCAACTCCCATGCTGGCTCAGGAATTCTGGGAGTTGATGTCCACGAGTCATAAAAGAGTCAATGTTGCCTACCCCTGGTTTAGGATAAGAGGGGGGGACAATTAATTTTCCCAAGGGGCTACATGAGAAACTGGGACTGCTGTGGGGGGGCACTGATGCTACTCTGCCCCGTGGTGCCCCGCTCTGCCACCCCACGGGCCTGTTCTAGGAGGTATTATTTTAAGCAATACATCCCAGTGTGTCACGTCCACTTTTAGTCTATTCTCTCCAGCTTTAGTGTATTTGGCCTTCTCAGTTTGCTGAATGACATTTGCCTCACCTGTCTCCAAACCTTTGAGCTCTGTTGGGCTTTGTGGACTTGCTTCAGGAGAACGGGGAGGGAATTCTGGCCAGAACTCTTCCTCTTCCTCTTCGGCTTCTGGTGAAAGAGGCTCATCCGAAGTGCTGCCAGTTCTAGCCTGCAGGTAGAGGAGGAGGAGGATGGGGAAAGTCAACCAGATTAATGTCTTCCTTTATTTCAGCGGTTCTCAACCTATGGGTCGCGACCCCATTTGGGGTCGATCGACCATTTCACAGGGGTCGCCAAGCAAGGCTGTCCGCCATTTTTTCCCCTTTTCCGGTGGGTGCCTTACCTCCCTTGAGCTGGGCCAGCTGGTGGTCGGCCTGCTCTGTCTCTGCCGCTTGCCAGCTACGCCTCGGCTGGTGCAGGGGGCAGAACCACGCATGCGTGGCGCTCCCGGGCAGGGAAAGTCCTCGACTTATGACCGGTTGGGTAGTCCTCGACTTACGACCGGTTTAGTCCTCGACTTACGACCGGTTTAGTCCTCGACTTACGACCGGTTGGGGGTCGCGGCATTAAAAAGGTTGAGAACCACTGCTTTATTTGATTTTCTAGATTTATAATCTATCTTGCCTTCAGCCTCTCAAGACAGCATGCATAGCATTCTCTTCTCCCATAATAAAACACACACACCCCCATTGTGATCAGGTTGGGCAGAGAAAAAGTGACTGTCCCAAAATCATCCAATGCACTTCCTTCGGTTTGGGATGCCCCAGTCTTCCCCAGTCTAAATCCGTAAGCACTGCAGCGTCCTGGCTCTTTTATTTGTAAGCTGATCCTATAAAGTTCTTTTTGTTGTTGTTGTGTACTCGTACATTGATAAATAAAATGAACAGAAATGATAGTTTTGGGACTCGTGTGGACTTCAACTCCCAGAATTCCTGAGCCAGCCATGCTGAGGGGAAAGGGAGAGGTTTCCAAGCTCAGCTATGCTGGCTCAGGAATTCTGGGAGCTGGGGTCCACGAGTCACAGAAGAGCCAAGGTTGCCTACCCCTGGTATAGGTTCTCTTGCTTAGCAGGTGGCTGGACTAGAAGACCTGCAAGGTCCCTTCCAGCTCTATTCTATTCTAAACTTCTACATACATGAATTTCCTCTTTCTATTGAAAATCTTCCTTGCTATTTTCTCATTGTGCTTTCTAGCCTAAAGAGCAATAGTTTACTCAGTTTATACGCCTATTACAGGGCTGGAGATTCTTGCCTTTTTCTAATCAGTTTCACAATGTAACCCAGGAATTCCATTTCTTTTTCTGGTCAGTTTTAAATATACAGTACTGCACCTTTTATAAACTCATCTGGCTAAATATAGTAATGGCAAAATGTCATCAAAATTTCCTGTAGGCTTTCCTACAAGTCATTTTTCCAAAAGATTTTAGGAAGGCAATAGTTAACACTAATGATATATAGATTAGTTTTGCATTTTCACCTCATTCTAAATAGTAGTAGGAAGGTCCTGCATAATTTGAGAGTTCTACAAAACTGTAATGTAATTTTCATTTTTAAAAACTGCATCCAAAGTTTACCCGATTTTACTCATAAGTAAATAAGGCTAGTTTAAAGTGATCTCCTATCTTCATAAGCTCAGAGAAACCTCTCTAGAGGTTGCTATGCATGGCAGAAAATGACTTAAGTCATTTGCAAAGCTTTGAAAGATTCTTTGCTTTAAAACTATTTCTCTCCCATTTCTAAAGCGTTTAGTTGCCATGTTACCTGGCTTGGTGTCCCTTCTGGAACCTCTTCCATTATTGGAAGTGCTGAAGAAGGCTAGGAAAGGAATACAAAGTGAGGTAATATACAGAGTCATGCTGTACTGTACTACAAAATATATATATATGAAAAGCTTCATAGTATGTTAACTAAAGTGCCTCAGTGAGTCAAAGTACAGCTGGCTCACAAAGATCTACTAAACTATAGAACAAGGACAAACTCCTTCCTTCCTTCCTTCCCTCCCTCCCTCCCTCCCTCCCTCCCATATCTGAAATGCACAAGAGGAATTGTAATGACATTAAGATAATTTTGGAAAAAGTTGAAGAAGAAGTTATGACATTCTTCGAATGAGGACATTTGGTTTTGAAGGCTAGATAACCTTAATTGATCGATGTGTTCTTATTTTGCAAGCCTTTGTTTTTTGATGATTTGGTAGCTAGTTTCAGTGGCGGAAAATCAATCATTTTGGGAGCTGTATGATAGTGACTGGGAAATGTATGTATATGATGGATCATCTACTCAGGCTATAAAAAAATTATCCCACAATCTTCCCAAGGAAAAGTTCCTTCAATAGTAGTTTCCTATGAGAACCTGTGGAAGAATAACATTGCTTCTTTGTTTTTTCTGCCTTTACCAGATCTTATGATTAGAAAAAATAGAAACAATGGTGAAGAAAACCTGGCAAATTACCATATAAGTGTGTTGTTATTTAACAATTCTTTAACATTCTTTGTGAATGGTTGAATAATACTACTAATTCTTTTAGTGATCGTTCGAATACAAAAAAAGTGACTTATGACTGTTTTTCACACTTAACGATAGATGCAGCGTCCCCAGGATCACACAAAAAAAATTCAGGCACTTGGAAACTGACTCATATTTATGACGGTTGCAGGGTCCCAGAGTCATGTCATCACCTTTTGCTAGCTTTTGACAAGCAAAGTCAATGGGGAAGCCAGATTCATTTAATAACCACATTACTAACTTAGCAATTGTCGTAGTGATTCATTTAACAATAAAAATTTTGAGCTCAGTTGTGGTCATACGTCGAGGACCACCTGTACAATAAAACTTGTTGTTTCTGTAAGTTTTGTATTTGTATGTTGTAAACAGAAAATAAGCTGGCACGTATAGATAAAGGGAGACAAATTAAAATTAGTGACAGACATAATATAAGTCTAGGGAAGTGTGTTTTGTCTATTTGCCAACCAACATGAAGTTACAGAAACTAAAATAATGTGACATGAAAATGTAATGGCAGGAAGGATAAAAATGTTCCTGATGTTTGATAGAAAAGAAGTATCAGGAGATAATACTCTTGAAAGAAAAGAAGCAAATGATTACAATTTGAAATGTGTTCTATCCTCACCTCTTCCTTGGCATTTTTCTTCAAAACATCAGCTTCCCCCCCTTCTTCTTCCTGTAGGTCTTCTGGTTTTCCAGAAACTTCATTTTTGGTCTCAGATACACCCTCAGATTCGGGTTGGCTGTTCTCTTTGACTACCTGCTCCTTCTGGCTTGCCTTGGATGCTGTTCCCTTTTCAGATTCAGAAGCCTCTTCTGCGGATTCTTCCTTCTGCTTTGCCTCAATTCCAGCAGCCTCAGTTTTCCCAGCCTCCTTCTCTCCATGTACCTCATTCCCAGCATCCCCCTTTGCTTTCTCTGCTTCACTTGCTTCATCCACCTCTTTCCCAGTTTCTTCTGCAAACTTCCTGTCCTTTTTCTCAGCAGTCTCTGCTTCTCCTGCCTCATTTCCCCCTTCGAATGCCTCAGTTCCCCCTTCAAATGCAGTTTCAGTCATTTCTGGCTTCTGCTGCAGCCCGTTGATCTGCTGGTTCTTCTCTTGTTCCTTGGTATCTCCAGCCTCCATAGTACCAGGTTTCTCTGTTGTCTCAATGGAGTGCAAAGCAGGTGGCCTATTCACGCTCCACTCCTAGAAATATATATGAAATGAAAAGAATAAATACAAAATTTCAGTGCTGAAGGTTTCCACTTTTTTACACAAATTAACGCCGTATATTGTAACTGTTCATTTGTCCCAACTGCTTGGGCAATCCGTGGCCTCTCTAGTTTGCAGTTAAATGTGTGATCTGACTCTGTTGAAAAGCTGGGGGCATTTAGTGTGATGAGGGACCATTCACCCCAAAAAGTCATCAGTGGATGTGTGTGCATATGTCAATTGCACTGAAAACGTGTCATTTCTTGAGATGAACTGTAGATGCTCGGAGGAGGGCAGGGTGGTGGTGGAGGGGAAGGGGAGGAGGAATATGGAAGGACAGGTTGATTTCACAAAACCTTTCTTCTACGTACATGACATGCATTTTAAGAGCTAAGAAAACTCTATAATTGTTGCCAAGCTGGAGGTTTTGCTGTGCTGAAAATCACCTTACATAGCAATCACATCCAAGGCAGTAAAAACACCTTGCTCTTCTCTGCACTTCTTCTGTATTTCAGAACAATCTGATCATATGCTTAGTATAAGCCATTAAAACCGTATTAAAGTTTTCAGAATAACAGCTGGGCAACCTGCTTTATCAGACATTCTAGTGCAAGTAGAGCTGGATTTGTATGCATCCCCCTATGCTTCTGAACAAAGGAAACAGCATGATTTACAGTCTCATATCTCCTGTGTGAGATCACAAAACGTGGCTTAACACAGAGCCTGGCAACATGTGCTTTAATCCGGCCTTCTTTGAGTATTAAGAAGCAGAACTATGCGCACGGCTAAACTCACCAACCTCTATCCGGGTTAATCCAGTACATTTTTCTGCCTATGACAGACTAACAAATATTTCTCATCTCCAGCATAGACACATAGGTGTTATTCCAAGTAAATACAGTACAAAGTCTTTTGGGGTGTAAGGCAACAATCCTGTAGACAATCTCCTCTTCCTATGGCAGTAAAAATACAGCAGTCTTAGAACTTTTAAAAGTTGCAATTCTTGCCTCTTTTTGCCTAATGTTAAGGACTGGTCCCGTCTTAGCACACTTCAAAGGAGTAAATTATCTGAAGCACAAGATAGTTCCTCCGGAGGCTGGGGAACTCCTGTCCAATTCCTTTCTTATCACTTAATAAATCATCTTTAAATAAAACCTGCCAACGAAGTCCAGGAACAGCCAGTGACTCAGACATGGAAAGAGCAAGAGGCAGTTCTGGGGAAAGGGGGCAGGTGAGTCGCTGTAACACCAACTAAAAATACCCTCCTGACATTTGCAAAGACAGTGGAGAGGTCAGGATGCCTAGAAGTCTCTTAGCTCTTTTCGCTTGGTACCCCACTATTCTTTTGTGGGCTCTAACTCTGTATTTGAAAGCAATGGGTTTGTTTGATTTTCATTAGTAAACACATAGGATTGCTCTGTCAGTAAAACTGCTCTTTCAGTTAAAAAAGCCGCACCATTTCTGTTCTTTATGTCCATGCTTCTGCTATCCTATTTGCTTGATGTATATATGAATTATAGGGAAATATTCCTATTGTTTCTAGGAAAGGAACCCCCCCCCCAAAAAAAACAAGTGAGAGAGAGAGAGCTACAAGAACAGGCCCTCACTGAACAATGATGACTGGGAGTAATTTGTCTAAAGATGGGAATGCTATGTAATCATCCAAAGAATCCTTGGCAGGTAACTGTGTATATCCATTAACTAGTTCGAAACATATATTTCCCTACTTTCTTTTCAGCCAATCCCCACTCAGGGGTAATCCGATCTGAACTGTGCTAATGTACTTATCTTTCATCCCCACATTTCTGCCTTGAATTTCCAGTGGCATATTTATAAGTGGCATGGTAAATTCCAGCATCTGTAGAAATCTCTAGGTGCCCCTTCAGTACAGGACTCTACTAAGCAATGAGACTATCCCTCATACCACCTAGCAGAAATAGATGCTTTTTTTGTTTAGCTAAGAGGTAGCACCTAGCTGACCTTGGATGATTTAAGAAAGCTAAACACAGAGGGGTTTATTAGAACCAGGATGGGAAAAGTCAGGGCTGTAGGCAGGACTGGAAAATTGAAAAGTCATCCTGGAAGGATAATGACAAATCATTTTTGTAATGCTGATGAGATGGATGAAAATGGATACATCCACAAAGTTATCAAGAATTGAATCAGATTTGAAGGAAGTATCAGAGTATGTCTGCTGTGATAATTGTACAAATTTCACTTCTCTACTGGAGTTATAAGTACATTCACTAAGTGACAGAAGCAATTTGACAGAAAAAAATAAATTTTTAAAACCTATGCGTGCCAGTCCCACAGAATATAGGGCATTATTTGACTAGATACTAAATATTGTGGTGAATACTGGATGATTATTACTGCCCGCCTTATTTTTGTCCTCCCAATACCAGTTGATGCCTTTTCAATCTTTGAATATGCAGAAATGCCATAAAATTCCTTGAAACCAAATTAACTGAAGTCTGCAGCTGTGGGCAAATCCTAGTCCTGTGTAACTTCTTTGAAATTGTTTTATATGAGATTTGTATTAACTTTGGTATCTTATTTCTCTCTTCAAAAAACAGAAAAGCATAGCAGAAATTCTGTGTCTTGCAAACTTGCATGCATTTTAAATTTAAAATGATTTACAGCTCTATGAATAATATGTTTAAATTGAAGATATATTCCAAAGCTCCTTGAGAGCTCCATCATAAAGCATTTGCTGTTTTCCTTCATATATCAGTTTTCTCAGAGGTATCACCATTGTAAAAAAAAAAATTGAGATTCTTGGCCTTCAACATTACTCAACAAACAAAAAATCAAGTGATGTAGCCTCCAAAATTTATCTTGCCAATAACAATACTAGGAAATTACAGATTCAGAGAAATAGAGACCACACATTTATTTTTTATCTGGAGAAAAGATTGCCTAATGTAGACTTCAGTGAACGTTTAGACTGAATATTCCAAAATAATCTCAGATGTATAGTAAAAACACTTTAGAAAAAAGTATGAACGAGGATTCTATACAGCATATAAAAGGGCAATATAACAGTAACCATCAGTAAAACGTAAAGCATATGAAAACAATCAGAGATAAAATAGGTTGGATAATATATATATATTTGGTTTAGAGAGTCAGTGAAATCAAAAGCTCTGTGTCTGCTGCTGAAATAACTAGAATAAACACTACTTGAGCCTTTTTGAGGAACTAAGTCCACAACCAGTGCACCATCAATGAGAAGGCTCTGCTTCTGGCCATTTCTTGCCACACTGATTATGTGGTCCCTCTTTGCTCTTTTGAAGAACTCTCAGGATCACATACTTTGTTACATCTCTTCTTTTCTAGTTCTCAGTGTTGTTTAGTGAATACTTTAAAGAATAGCTAATTGGGAGTGACTCCCCTACCTAACCATTTTTCTTATGTCTCCTAAATTTTCTTGGGAGATAGGAGAACATGATATGCTTCTAGGATTAACTTCACCATGAGGTTTCCCTCCCATGTCTGTTTCTCCTTCCAGAGTTCAAGAATCCTGAATTCTCTGGGACCTGAACATAGTGTAGGAGCCATCAATTGGCCACCCCCTTATGTTTTAGAATAAACACTTACCTGGAGTCACAACTAGGAACAGTTCTTTGGCGAGCCCAGAGTCCACTATGGACCATTTATAAACATGATGTCCTAGAAATCAGACTTCACCTACCTATTGGCAGGTCCTTCCCCGAGGCTAGCTGACTTTCTTCGTGTCTTCTTTCTCCTGGCTTCTTCTGCCAGTATCTCGATCCTCACTCCTATTGCTATGCCTGCCTGCAGCATTTCTCTCATTGTTTACTACTCTGTTGATACAGCCACCCTCCATTCTGTGATGGGTAACTAAACACTCCTATTTTTATCAGGAAATCCAGCAGGTGCTTCTTTCAATCATAGCCCCTACTTCTCAGAAGGGCCAGATGGAGCCAAGACAAGGTAAAGAAAGATAGCTTCTAGCGGCCTCTTAGCAGTTCAGCTCAGCATTTAAAGGGAATCATAGGAAAGAACTATTTTTCTCTTTTAGGGGGAAAGTGATGTCTAGTGAGCTGCCTGTAAGAGATTTTTCAGCCGGTGTATTGGTCTCTTGAGGCATCAGCTGTATGGGAGAATACTCCAGAGCTATTAATAATAGACACAGTTTCCACAGCCTTTTGTCACTTCTGATAAACAACAGACATGCAAAGGAAGTTTGAAAGGTGGCCTACAGGGATTCAAAGAACATTTATATAAAAAACAAAGGAATCTGCCAGAAGACTTTGAAAAGAAGTCATATTCTTAAGAGGATAGAAGAAGCCGTAGAAGTATATGAAATGTCTCCATTTAGAGCAGAACTACCATTCACTTCCCTTTTGTTATTTAATGCATAAGTTGTTTTGGGTTTTGGTAAAAGGAAACAAACATTCTAAATAAATAAAAGCAGGAATCCAGGCTCTAGTGCTTTTTCCCCGCCATCTAGGATTAGAGATGATACAGTGCAGGCGGTTGGGTGAATATCTGACTTTGCCGTACTTCATTTTTGCACTTTCTTTAGGATGTGGTTTAGCACCACAGAAGCCCTAGGACTCTCTCCATTCTTGAAAGGCAGCCAGTCTCACAGAAATGGGGAATGTCTGAAGGAATATTGAGATTTCATCATTCTTAATGAAGTTGAATATTTAGCTTCATCAAGAGACAACTGCACCTTACTTGGATAAAACAAAGAGAGCTTTGCTTGTCCTCAGGAAGAGGCCTGAATGGATGCAAAATTATTTTAAGTTGATATTGCCGCTTACATATAAACTGTCAAAAAATTAAAATATTTGGGGATTTTGACACTCGCATTATATGTATGAGTTTGAGAACAAAGCATGGCTGCAGCTGAAACTGACCTTCCTTCCACCTCCTTCCACCATGGATCCCCACTGGGTTGAGTTGAACAATTTCTGAGAGGAATGGTTAGTGTTGCAGCCTTATTCTAAGGGACATACTAACTATGTGGATCATATTTAGCACTTAGATAGCAATTTCCAAAGATGCAGCAGTTCAAATGTCAAAAAAACATTTTCATATCATGATTTGAGCGAATATGTAATCTGATATCATCACTTCAGTCATGTTTCCTTGAAGAAAAAAAAATCTTCTACGATAGAGTTATGTTGTGCTGGCAACACAAGTTGCACAAATATTGTCAGCACTCTTTTCCCCATCTTTCACAACCTGGCAGAAAGTATTTGCTGTAAACACTGCTATGGGAACCAAACTGAGATAGCTCTCTGCTGGAAGGAACTCGTGGTTTGAATATATGATTTGCCAAGGACTCCAACAGACTTAGTTTATAATGTGCTCCTGGGGTGACAGTGAAAACCTGGTGAAAACTATGGGATTAACCTCTTATGACATACTCTTGTGTGAGTATGACACTCACACAAGTCCAGTGGGTTTTCTCCACTTATTCATTTCTGAAGCCACTCTGACGCCTTGTGGCCAAAAAGACTGAGTTTCTAAAATTAGATTGTAACAGGGACAAGATATAGGGATGGAGAATAATAACAAGAACTGCACTGTGATCCAGAGACAAGATCAAACCTGATTTTTTATTATGCATAAGCTTCCTCACCAGAATACAAATGGAAGAAAGGCAGGTAATACAATTATGAAGTCATGACCAGATGTATAGGAAGAGTTTATTACACCAACAATCTACAAGCAGAAAAAGACTCACTTGTAATTAGTATTTTGTCTCCAAAGGAAAATTATACTCATTGGAAGTTGAAAATATGCAGGGAGGGATCTGGTAATCTTCCTAAGTGCTGATTTATTACTTCTTTTGTTCTTCCTAAGATGCCTTCTGGACATGTTGATGTGCTTCAACATTATTAGAGTTTATAGAAGCAATTAAAACTTGGTTAATTTAAAATGCCTTTGAGGGGGGAGATGATTGAAATTCTTTCTATATATGATTCTACAGGGTTATGATTCCTTGCATAGGAATGCTGTATAATGTAGTATTTTAAAATTATTAGTTTGGACTATTTTTGCTCTTACAATTTTCTTTACTTAGATTAAGATAGAATGATAGGATTATTCCAAATCAGTTGTTGGCTGGAGTGACATAAGCCCAGTAAAACAAAAAATTTAAAAACCTGGTCCTAGGAATTGGCCTACTAATTAGAGAAACAACATGTTTTCAACAGCCTGTCTCACTTGTTGTGTGATCAAGAGGAACTTTCTTTTTTCATCACACTGCAGGTTTTTGTCTAAAGTAAACAAACCATGTTTATTTGGGATGAGCTTCTTCTTATCCAGTCTGTTTTGATTCATGGGCAGCAGAGAGAAATGGCTTTATTTGCTCTTTATATAATATGATACACAAAGAGGGTCTCAAATTACTTACTAAATATATAAGCACGGTCAGCTGGTAAAAGCTACTGCATGATAAAGGTATTTTCTAACCTCCCACATGATGAAGAGTCAGTTCCAGCCAAAATTGTGGTCAAACTCAAGAAACATTGATTTCTCTTTCAGGTTGCTGAGTGAGTCACAGGCAGACAGACTGCAATTAGTTGGGCAAAAGAATAGACAAATTTGTCACTTGGGTGTCCAAATGTAGCCTTGATTAAAGTAGTCTGAATGACACTTTTCATATAATTAATCTTTGCCAGCACCCATGTTTAGTCAAGAGCCTTTATAACAGTGGTTCTCAACCTTTTTAATGCCGCGACCCCAACCGGTCGTAAGTGGAGGACTAAACCGGTCGTAAGTCGAGGACTACCCAACCGGTCGTAAGTCGAGGACTTTCCCTGCCCAGGAGCGCCGCGCATGCGTGGTTCCGCCCCCTGCGCCGGCCGAGGCGTAGCTGGCAAGCGGCAGAGACGGAGCAGGCCGACCACCAGCTGGCCCAGCCCAAGGGAGGTAAGGCACCCACCGGAAAAGGGGGAAAAATGGTGGACAAAAAAAATGGCAGAAAAAAAAAATGGCGGACAGCCTTGCTTGGTGACCCCCATGAAATGGTCGGTCGACCCCAAATGGGGTCCCGACCCACAGGTTGAGAACCACTGCTTTATAAGCTCTTGACCTTATGAACTGGTATTACTTGCAACACAGCAAAAAATGACTCTGAAAGGTCTATGCCAGCGGTTCTCAACCTATGGGTCGCGACCCCATTTGGGGTCGATCGACCATTTCACGGGGGTCGCCAAGCAAGGATGTCCGCCATTTTTTTCCCTTTTCCGGCGGGTGCCTTACCTCCCTTGAGCTGGGCCAGCTGGTGGTCGGCCTGCTCCGTCTCTGCCGCTTGCCAGCTACGCCTTGGCTGGCGCAGGGGGCGGAACCACGCATGCGCGGTGCTCCTGGGCAGGGAAAGTCCTCGACTTACGACCGGTTGGGTAGTCCTCGACTTACGACCGGTTGGGGGTCGCGGCATTAAAAAGGTTGAGAACCACTGGTCTATGCTGTGGTAACTGTTACAGTCCAGATAATCAATCAGTTCACGTGTTTGTCCATGGGCAGAAGGAAGAACCATTTAACTATTTTATGTCTATGATATAAACACATTCCCAGGAAAGCAACAGCTACAATACTTTGTTACATGCAGAGCATTTAGGTTTTTGAAATGGTTAACAGCTAACAAGACAATTTAAATCTGAACCATGATAATTGTCAGGGTTTTTTTCCCCTTTGGGCCACTCTACCCCTTCCTGATGGCCAGATGTAGTGAAGTTATTGATTCCATTGTTCTGGGACCATATACTTGTAGAATTGTATACAACAAAATTTCAGTCTTAAGGTGAAAGACAAAAACCAGAAATGATTGTTGCAGAATATTGGAGAGTACATGTTTTATAATGAAAACTAGACTCAAAACCTAGAGTCCCTTTTGTTAGATGCATTACAGTTTGTTATCAATTAGCAGATGATAAATATACCTAAATAACAGATGAAAGCCAACAATGCAGTGGTTAAACCATCAGGCTAGAATCCAGAAGACCACTCCATGCCTCTTAGGCACAAAACCAGCAGGGTCCAGTCACTTTCTTTCAGCCTGAAAATGGAGACAATGGCAAACCAGTACTGAAAAAAATTGCCAGGAAAACTGCAGGAAGTCCAGGCAGTCTTCAAGAATTAAACATGATTGAACCAAAGGGGGAAAAATGGATATAAAAGAGAACAATGAAAATGAGCTAAATATATTAATTGGAGTGCCAAGTGCTTTCAGTGACCACAATACTATGTTAATACGATATAATGGTAAGGTGCCATAGCAGCAGTAGGAAGATCCAAGTCCACTCAACATGGAAGTTCATTGGATTACTTTGGACTAGATTACATTCTCTCAGTCCAGCTCCAAGGATTGCTATTCTAAGCATAAAACAAAAAAAAAAATCCTGTGCAGATATTGTATTTGTTCATGGAGGAAAAGTAGTACCTAACTGACAGACAAGCAGAGATTGGCCATAACAGTAATCTTAGTCTTGTTAAGTTAATTAAGACTGCATATTCCCAGCATTATAAACTAGCATGTGTTTATGTGTATGTTTACTTATTTAGAATCAAGAAACTTAAAATCTAGTTGCAACTCATAGAAACATGTTTATATCAGGTCAAACTACTTGTCCATTAATCCAGCTCAGTCCAGAAATTGCAGCATCTTTGCCCAAGGATCATTAACTAACACCTGTCATTGGAGTTCCTTTGCTCTGTTTGTGTCAGGAATAGAATTTAGAATCTTCTCCTTACAAAACAGGTCCTCTCTTGAGCTATGGAGGGAGCTATGGCTCCATCCTTAACCCCCTTGCCTGAGGTGGTTTCATTGTTTGTGCCAACCAAAATACAGAATATAGAAAGAGAACAAGTCATACAGGTTGCTCAAGCTCATCCCACATTGGCAACCTAAATGATCAATTATCTGACCAATTGATTCTTTTTGTCTCCAAACGTCTTGCGGCATACTTTTTAAAAGAGTTTATCTGATGTTTTAAAGCTTCTGCACCGTGAATAGTACTGATGAAGTGTCTGCCACTGCAGTTGCCACTGCAGAAGCTAATAGGACACAAGGCAAATCAAATTTTATTCAGCACTGACCTACAGTAAACCCAAAAGTCAGGAAATCATCAAGTCACAGAAAATAATCATGCAGACAATCTGTCCCTCTAGGTTGCTTCCTTGCACGATGAAAAGAAAAAAGGACAGAAACAACCCTTCACAAAATGAGCTGCAGCTCATTCTTGTCTCAGGACATAATTTACAAAGAAGTCAGTCTGGGGCATAGGTTGAAGTTCCAAAAATGCTGGGACCACCTTCCTTGGCTGGCATTAGCCCTGGATGCCATTTTTATCCAGGGAAGTTATTTTCCTGAGACTAGATCTAAGGAAACAGTTCATCAAAGAGAGGATTTGGGCAGCTGTCTCAATGGAGGTAGTATAATATAGCAACATGTATAGTTTCCTGAAGCTTTTTTTCACAAATATCAGTACAATTTGTTTGTTTGCTATATGGTCACAGACTAATTTAATATAAATCTTAGAATAAGGTATCTGAAAGCAAATTATCAAGGGTGAAAAATCATTACAAAATAAATGTAGCACCAAAAGCTTCTTTAGGCTTTGCTTAACACAGAACTAATGCTTTCTAATGATTGCAACAGGGAAGTTTTTACAACTTTTGCAAAGATTTTGCTAGTCAGATTCTTCAGTAAACAATTTAAAATCTCTGATTGGGGTCATCCATGTATTTAATAATAAAGAGAGAAATTAGTATTTCATGCAGATAAAGTATAATGGGCAACATCACAAAATAGAAGGTGCTGCGATACCTGTATAAGGGATATTCTTAATTTTCCTATCATAACTTTAAAATCTTGCCACTAAGAATACCTTTCTATAAAGACCAGAAAGGGTATTATGAAAATATTTTGGAGTGGCATAATAAAGGAGTCCCCAACTCCCAGACCACAGACCGCTACCTATCTTTGGCTTTTTAGTAGGTTGTGCATGAAACCATTCTACCCCCACCCCCACCCCTGGTCTGTGGAAAAATAGTTTTCCACGAAACTGGTCCTTAGTGCCAGAAAGGTACAAGTACAGATTGGGCAAGACCTGGCTCAAAAACAGTAACTGTGAGAGGGACCTTGGAGTCCTAGGGGATGATCACTTGACTATGAGCCAGCAATGTGCAGCAGCAGCCAAAAAAGCTAATACCATCCTGGGTTGTATTAACAGAGGCATAGAATCAAAATTATGTGAAGTATTAGTACCAATTTATAAAACCCTAGTAAGACCACATCTGGATTTCTGCAACCAATTTTGGTCACCATACTACAAAAACGGTGTTGAGATCTTGGAAAAAGTTCAGAGAAGAGCAACTAAAATGATCAAAGGCCTGGAAACTAAAACATATGAAGAACGGCTGCAGGACTTGGGTTTGCTAGTCTAAAGAAAAGAAGAAACAGAGGTGACATGATAGCAGTATTCCAGTATTTAAGGGGCTGCCACAAAGAAGAGGGGTCAAGCTACTCTCCAAGGCACCAGAGGGCAAGACAAGAAACAATGGTTGGAAACTGACCAGAGAAGCAACCTGGAATTAAGGAGAAACTTCCTAACAGTGAGAACAATTAACCAGTGGAACAGCTCGCCTTCAGAAATTGTGGATGCTCCATCACTGGAGATTTTTAAGAGGAGACTGGACAGTCATTTGTCTGAAATAGTATAGATTCTCCTGCTTGAGCAGGGGGCTGGACTAGAAGACCTCCAAGGTCCCTTTCAGCTCTACTCTACTCTACTCTACTCTACTCTACTCTACTCTACTCTACTCTACTCTACTCTACCCTACCCTACCCTATTCTATTTGTTGGGACTGCTGGTATAATAGATGTCATCAACATCTCAAACAACAATAAATGCAACTATGTAACATTTTGAAAAATAAGTGTTGCTGCCTGTGCTGCATCTCATTTTTTTTGGCCCAATATCAGCAAACCCTTTATCATATTTACCGTATATTCCATGACTAATACCTGTCACTCTCCTGTATTAGGGTGTAATAAAATATCTTCTTAGGGCACTATCACATACATGCACCATGGTGTTCTGTTAGGCAGGCATAATGATGGGCATGCTGCCAAGAATCTGTAGGAGACCAAAATGTTGGCTTTATATTTGATGAGACAGATGGAAAGTAATAGATGATTCTCAGTTTCCAAAGTTGTCAATTTACAATCTCTTTTTTCTATAAGTGAACAAATATATTCAGTACTATCAGTCCCTAATCCTATTAAATTTTCAGTTATCTTTGGATGATAAATTTGCCCAAGGAGAAGAGAGTAACAAAAGCTATATAATTGTGTGAAAAATAGAAAGATTGAAATCTAGTATTCTGTGCATGTTTATATAGTAGACCTAATAAATTGAATAAGTGGACCCTGCCATAGTGTGAGAATAACACTAGGAAGAAGAAGAGACTCAATGAGTTGAATAGTTCTTTCAACTACATTTTTAAAGCCCACAGAACAGAAAAAGTTCATTGCTTTGTCATATTGAGATTAACTAATGCAATTCCTTTTTAGAAAATAATGATGATTAAGGATCCATCTGTACCCCCAACGTTATTATTTAACAACTAGGATTTTTCTAGGGTTACTGAGCTTGGACTACAGGTATCTGGATTATACAGAAATTCATATTAAAGTATCCCTGGTAGATGGTCTTACCTCAGCTTGAAAACATCTCCCTGAATAACTACCAACTGGTATCAACTATAAACCTGGCTGCCTGCCTTGCTGCTTACCCTTAAGTCAAGCTGATTTATGTTAACACTGATCCCAAAATATATTCTTGATGGACTTCAGTTCTTATTTCTCTTCACCAAGCAAACTGCCTATTTATTTTTTTACATTGTTTGCTGCTTTTTAAACAATTATGTAATGTATAGATAGATCCTCTTATCCTATGATATCTAAATTTACTCAAGAGTCTTGAGGGATTTGGATATCTTTGGATTTTCAAAAAGCCTTTGAGGAAGTTGACAGCTCATCATCTATTCTATTCTACTGTATATATGTGCGTAGTCACATAGACATATTCCAAAAGTGCTAGAAGGGATTCATCATCTTCAGTTCTTGCTCTCGTTCTCTCTCCATTAAAAAGGTGGTTTTTATTTATTATTCATCTACTAGCTGTAACCGGCCACGCATTGCTGTGGCTCAATCTGGTAAAAGCGTGTGTTGCTTTTACATCCAACAGGTGGCGCTGTTTTTTTAAAAAAACATGTTACCTGTCACAGGTGTGACATCTATATAATATAGGTATATAAAAACACGCACGTACTCGAATGCAACGTTGTGTCAAAATTTCAAAGCAATCGGTGAAGAACTTTCGGAGATTTAAGATTTTGAACAAACGAACATTTACATTTTTATTTATATAGATTTATCTTTGCAGATTATATGCTTATTTTCCTTCAGGAAGGCTTCTTAATTGATCAACGGTGTTGTTAACTGATCAAAGTTGAGTAAAGTGCAAGCTTTGTTTCCTGTGACTGGAAACTACATTTTACTCTACTCGCTGTGTGAACCCGGACAGCTTGATTAGTTTAGAGTTGCGTCCATCGCTCAAACTCAGAAAAGCGATGCTGAAAAAGCCTTAGGTACAGTGTATAATCAGCGCCTGCTGGAAATGCGACCACAAGGTCAACAAACCGCTCCAAGTCTCGTGCAAAGGTTCACTGATGAAACAGCAGCACTAATTTATCTTTCCCTTCTCTCAGTAAAAAGCATCCGATCGCTCCTGGCTTGCTCTCTTTCCTACGATGCTGAGGAACATCAGGACAGCCTTCTTTGACCTCTTGGACTACAACTCCCAGAATTCCCCAGCTAGCGGCCATGCCGGCTGTCAATTCAGACAGCCGCGATCCCGCGCTCTAGCCACCGTATCTCAAGACTTCTCCTCGCGGATTCCTCCTCTCTATGGTTTGAAATAGAAATGACCGCTTCTATCACACTGCAGCTGCGCAGTAGCTCTGAGCCGGCACGTGACGTCAAGAGACTTACAGTATTGGACAGAGGTAATTCGAGAACTTCTCTGGCTGGCCTCTTAGAGAAGGCGTGGTTCCGTCCGGGAAGTTTCTATGGTATCCAAGAAGGGAGTGAAACCAAAGGCACACTGGCGGAAGTGCTGCTTCCTCGTGCTTCCGGTTGGTACCTGGACCGAAGGTGAGTTTTGATAGCGATGAAAGCGGGAAGGCTGTGGAGGCGTTTATAGAAGTTTATGGCCAGGCTAGCCTGCAAAAGATGGATGGAGCGGGGTCTTTTTGGTGCAGACGGGGCTGCAGGCACAGAAACTGAAAAAGGGGAAGAGAGGGCGGGAAACACCAATAGGTTTGCTCACTTTCATTAGAGAAGCTAGTAAAAAGAGGCGCCTGCGGCCATAACCTAAGCTCCCTTCCCAATCTCTCCTTTTTGTATTCCCTCCATCATCGCCAGCAATAGCCGCAAAACGCGCTCACTCTGAGGGAAAAAGCTTTGAGATCGGGCTTCCGTCTTTCTACTTCTGGTCTTTTTTTTTTTTATTTCATTTCATTTAATTTTTCCCGATATAACAAAAATGTACAAAAGTAGAAGATTAAGAAAGGAAGTCCTTTCTATCAGGTGCTTACTGGTGTCAGAACCATCACAATTAAAATAAAGCATACTACATGGCATACATTTAAAATATAAAATACCAGGTTAAAATACGTACAAATTGAATTTAAATTCTATCAGGTGAGTGCCACCTTATTCTTCTCCCTTCCTCTTTGAGGCTTTTTAATTCCCCATCTCTTTCTACTTCAAGAGTTGATATAATGGCTTTTTCTTGCCATGACACTGATTGGTTAGAGGGGGGAAATGGGGTTTGAAGTGATTTATGCACTCACACATTTTATTAGTCAGATTACAAATAGAATTAGGTTATCAAAAGAGGTTTCTAAAATACTGAACGTGTACAATTTTACTGAGTTAGTGAATGTGCCTTTACATATTGTTATGTTGATAGAATTACTAGCTTCTAATATTTGTGTTCTCCAGCTATAAAAAAGCCATTTACTTGAAGGTGTGATGGATCCTCTGCGGGCTCAGCAGTTGGCAGCTGAGCTGGAAGTGGAGATGATGGCTGATATGTACAACAGGTATTAACATTTATAAGTACAAGATTTTTAAAAGCTACTTTAACTTTTTAATTCCATGAAAAACCTAACAGAGTTATTATCCAAGTTGATGCCAAAATATCAAACATTATTTAGGTCCTTATAAGGAAACTCCAAGTGTTTTTGAACTTTGATGATGGAAGCTGTTTTCTGCTAGGCAATGGCCAGTGCATGAAATGCTGGGACTCACTGAGACCTCCATGCTTGTCACTCAGGTGAGTTGACAGACTTAGGAGCTTTTAGTTGTGGAGATGCTGATGACTGAGAAGGTGTGGGCTCTTCTACCTCTGCAGCCCTGGCATAAGTCAAATGACAAAGTATAGCATAATACCAGAGAGTTTATGAGAGAAGGAAAAATATAATATGGAACTTTTTGATCTTTTGATTTTTAATAGTCATTATTCTATAATTTTATCATTTTTAACCATAATTTAATTTTTAGTTTTAATATTTTCTGTTTTATTTATCAGTTGTATTATATTCTACACTGCCCTGAGAGAGGTGGGCGGTTTAGAAATATGAAGTGTAAATAAATAAATTGGAGCAGATGAAATACCTAAGAAGCCTGGTGAGATAACTGAATAGCTCTGGGAGGCAAACAAAGCAGAGGGGAAGTCTAGGTACAGTAATACTGCTAGTATGAGGCAAGAGCATTTATGGGCAGTTTCCAGCCACAATGCCTTGAGTGTGGCAATAGCAGGAAGACTTGCATGCTGGAAGAAAGAGGAATATTAACATTGCCAAGGAAAAAAGAAGAGATCAGACAAACCAGCAGCTGTTATTTCTTTTAGTCTCCTCCTAGACCAGCCTAGTGTTTTACTCCGTTCCACTTCAGTCCAGGCAGATTTCTTTTTTTGTCAGTACCTCTCCCAACAAAAAAACTGTATAAGTGGGGTTTTTATGTTTCATGTATATTGTAGGCCCCTTGCAATGACTCTGCAGTTTTCCAGGAATCTATGGTCCGCTATTTGGGAACTATTGATTAGATACTTATAATAAAGAGTGTGGTTGAGGCCTTTGAACTATGGTGCTGGAGAAGACTCCTGTGAGTCCCTTGGACTGCAAGGCGTTCAAACCAGTCAGTCCTAGAAGAGATCAACCCCGACTGCTCTTTAGAAGGCCAGATCCCGAAGATGAAACTCAAGTACTTTGGCCACCTAATGAGAAGGAAGGACTCACTGGAGAAGGGCCTAATGCTGGGAAAGATTGAGGGCAATAGAAGAAGGGGACGACAGAGAATGAGGTGGCTGGATGGAGTCACTGAAGCAGTAGGCATGAGCTTAAATGGACTCCAGAAGATGGTAGAGGACAGGAAGGCCTGGAGAAACATTGTCCATGGGGTCGCGATGGGTCGGACACGACTTCACAACTAACAATTAATGCTCAAATGGTTGTTAGAGGTAAAATTATAGAAAGAACTTAAAATTGAACCTGTAATTAGTGAAGATAGTTGAGTAATGAATGGATCAGTTGTAAAGGGTTATTGAATTTGGGATACATGGTAACTAAAATATTTTTTGTATTAATATAGCTGTGTATTTATTATCACTGTTTTATTTAATATTAGTATCTATCAACTTCCTGGAGTCCATAAAGGGTTTAGGTGGGGATAAATATCATAGATATGCCAAAATGGCACCTGCCTAAAAAGATGGTCTGGTCTGTTTTAATCCAAAATGTTTTTCTGGACAGATTAACAGATCAGTTTAGTAGTAATACTACTACTAAAGAAAACATTACTAAACAATATTTTCATTAAATGTTAAACAATGTGCTTAGCAATAATATGGATAAGAGAATTACACACAACACATAAATGTTTGTTGGGAACGGTTTTGAGTCCCTAACCGTTGCATGTGTTTTATGATGAAAAGCAAAAAGAATAAGTACAACGGTCCTTTCTATGGTCATAGCCAACATGCAGGGGTTAGTGGAGGGGTAGGGGCTCAGGAATTCTGGGAGTTGAAGTCCACGAGTCATAAAAGAGCCAAGGTTGTCTACCCCTGGGTTAGTGAAAGACCTAGCTGCACTGTAGTTTCATTTGTACCCATTGGAGATGCAAAACTAAACAAACTAATGGATAAGCTAGTGTAGGAGTGGTTTCATTTTACAGCTGGAATCTAAAAAGGAGAGTTGACTATTGGTTAACTCCACCTCCTCTAAACTGGGTAAATTTACATACTTGATGATACATACATAGAATTGCAGTTTTTTTAAAAGTATGTTTATGCTGGATATTTTGTATTTTTACTTGTTCTTTTCCTGAGAAAAACTTAGGCTGTTTTTAAAACTATGTGTTTAAAGCAAAATTTTAACATTTTGCATTAAAATAATCTACATAAGTGATGGGAAGTTTAGGGCTATCAGCCTTGGATAGGCTGAGAGATAAAGACATGATGAGAGATAAAGACATGATGAATTTGAAATACTAAAATGGCAGCATAAGTTTGATTCCTAGTGAATGAATGAGCAAAGTCTCACCATCTCAACCTGTCCTTTAATAGTGACTTACAGCTTTCAAAGTTTTAAAAAGAAGATAAAAACTAATATATCAAGTAAGACAGAAAAAGAAAAATCAAAAGAGAAAGGTAGAAATGCACGAAAGGAAAAAGTTTTTAAAAAGAGAAAGTAAAGAAAAAGATACAAAGAAGTAGCTTCCAAACTTCTTTACGCCAGTTATAAATACAATTATAAATGTCCTTATTTCTCTAAAATCACAACATGTCTGCCTTCTTTCTATCGTCTATCCTGTCTAATCATCAAAACCATAAATCATAAGTTCATTTTTTTCTGTTTTTTGCAATACGTCCATAAGCCAGAAATTAATATGGATAGTGGCTTTTCTCTAATCAAAGAAGACAATTTGGCCATCTCAGCAAGTTCCAATCATCTTCACCAACCGTTCTTCCCTCTTAGATTTTGCTAAATCTTTTCATCTTTGGGCATACATGTCCAGTTGCGAAACTGTCCAAATGTGATTTCCCTAAGACCAGCTTGGACTACCTAGGCTACCGAATCTCGAAGAACGGCATAGAAATGGATCCTGGGAAGGTCTGAGCGATCCTAGAGTGGGAGCATCCACAAACGAGATGACAAACTTTCCTCGGCTTTGCTAACTTATATTGTCAGTTCATCCCCACATTTGCTCAGATAGCCCTACCGATCATGAACTTACCGAAAATGAAAGGAGAAGCTAAACCCAGGCCCAGCCAATCCCTAAATTGGTCACTGGAGTGCCAAGCTGCATTCAAGAAGCTCAAATGTCTTTTCACCGCCGAACCAGTCCTAAAACACCCTGACCCAGATGAGTCCTTTGTAATACAAGCGGACGCCAGTGATATGGCCATAGGAGGGGCGCTGCTTCAGAAGAACGCAAAGGGAGAATTACAGACATGTGCTTACACCTCCCACAAGCTCTCCAAGACTGAGTGATGATGGGCTATCTGGGAGAAGGAAGCCTATGTGGTTCGTTGGGCCCTCCTTACTTGGAGGCAATTCCTGGAGGGCAGTAAAATCCTCTTCGAGGTTTGGATAGATCACAAAAACCTATAAGCATTGAAAGCTCCCTGTTGGGGAATCGAACCCTGGTCTCCCGCATGAAAGGCAGGAATACTTACCACTATACTAATGAGGAGTTATCTGCTGAGGTTATCATATGCAAGAACAAAGTTCTATGACTTTTTTTTCCAACTTCTGTCCATCAGTCCTACCTCTGTCTCCAATTTATTCAAAGGTACTTTCACACACACACACAAAAATCTTTCAAGATTGGCTACATCCAAAATCTTTTAAGAAAGTAAGCTTGTGTAGTCTTGTATTACGGCTGTGAGCCACTCAATTCAACTGCAAAAACCTCAGTTCTTGCAGTCTATTCTCAAGAAGCACCTACCCCAACTGCAGAGGGCAATCGGACAATTTCTCCTTATATCGAAAAAGAGAACACTGGCCGAAATTCGGGGAATAGCCACCAATCTTTGCCAATTTTGGTTCAAGCAGTTAAAAGTGGGGGCAGGAATTTTGTACAGTACTTTCAGTCTTGCAAGATTGATGTCAGTCTTCCCAGGTTAATCAGATAGGAAACAGGACTAGATGAATGAATGAACAATCTTGCAAGTCTAACAGTACAAACTTCCCACCATTGCTTTTAATTGCTTGATGTTTTAGGGCAGATCTTTTCTAAGTTTCTTTCTCTGACTTTAAGCCGCATGGGGCTCCTGCCTCTCTTCTCTTATTGTTTCCTAGGTAGCATCTTTTCTCCTCATTCCCCACAGTCATCCACCTATTCCATTACAACGTATCTCTAGTTACTGTTATTGGTTAATAAATATAAAAATGCAAGATACCTGAGATTTTCCTCTTTTGCTTGTCTTTGCATATTCCTTAATTTCCTGGTTTCCAATGACCTTTCATAGGAATAGGCTTTTTATATGCTGACACAGGCTTCCCGTTTCCTGAGAAATGTATAAACATATGTATATGTTTATATCTACAAACTAAGCAGACGTTCATGAATCTGTGGAAACATAAAAAACAAAAAAACATAAAAAACTTGAAAAACAAACATACAAATAAAAGGAACTGGCACTGGCACACACTAGTAGTAACAGTTATATCGTAAAGGAATGTCTGGGAAGTCTAAATCTGGTGGTAACACTGAAAACTATGTTAGATCCCCTCAATCCCATCCACCTACAACTTTTTCCATAAACATATTTATTATCCACTACTTGCATCGTATCCCCAAAGTATGTAAGTATCTGCTTATTCAATTCTTTATTTTTGTTTACAGGGAGTCCTCAACTTACAACAGTTAACTTAGTGGCCATTCAAAGTTACAATGGCACTGAAAAAAATGACTTATGACCATTTTGGTGGCAGAGTTGTTAGAATGCAGTACTGCAGGCTACTTACTTCTGCTGACTGCCGGCTGTCAGCAGTTTGGCAATTCAATTCTAACCGGCTCAAGGTTGACTCAGCCTTCCATCCTTCCGAGGTCGGTAAAATGAGGATCCATATTGTTGGGGGCAACATACGGACTCTGTAAACCACTTAGAGAGGGCCGTAAAGCACTTATAAGTCTAAGTGCTATTGCTATGGCTGTTTTTCACACTTACCACCACTGCAGCATCCCCGTGGTCACATGATCAAAATTGAGATGCTTGGCAACTGACTCATATTTATGACGGTTGCAGTGTCCAGGGGTCATGTGATGATCCTTTGCGACTTTCTGACAGTGAGTGGAGAATCCGGATTTACTTAACCGTGTTACTAACTTAACAACTGCAGTGGTTCACTTAACAACTGTGGCAAGAAAGATCGTAAAATGAGACAAAACTCAATTAACAATTGTCTCGCTTAGCAACAGAAATTCGGGGCTCAATTGTAGTCGTAAGCGGAGGACTGCTATATTAACTTTATAAGGTTGCCTATCTATGCATTGATACTCTGGGCAACAAGAAATAAAAAATATCAACAGTCATATGAAAACCCAAGTTGGGGACCCCCATTAAAAATCTCAGAAGATACCAACACCATAAATGCAGACTAGAGCTTCAATAACTACAGTCTGGCCAAGCCTCTGAGCGAAGAGGCCATTCCTCACAGCCTTTTGAAAGGCTGTTTGGATTGGACCATCCATATGTTTTGCTTATCATCCAGGGCAAGTGCCAATCATTATTTGATCCAGGACTAATTGACCAATGACTCTTGCATGCCATGGTGTTTTTAGGAATCATTTCAAAGCTATAATCTGAAGGTATCTATCTTCTTTCTCTTGATGTCGTTTTTTTTTTTACTGTACCTTATCACTGGAAATATTGCTTTAACTATGCTGACATTTGTTATTGAAATCCTCCACAATAGTTTCTAAGTTTGCCATTTCTTTCTAGGAATAGTCTTAGGTTTTGTTTCTTGAATGCAGTATCCCTCCATATCTGTTCTGAAGCCCCACAAAATGAAATTGACGATTGCATTACTTTTTTTTTTTTTGAAGAAAGCTGTACGTTCCCTAAATATAAGTTGATGTTACATTATTTTTTTAAAAAAATCTTCTATAATTTGTTTTATTGCATTATTGTAAACATAACTGGTACATTGTATTAATTGAGTACAAGTAGCTTTTGACTTACAACCGTTCATTTAGTGACCGTTCAAAGTTACAACGGCACTGAAAAAATAACTTGATGACCGTTTTTCACACTTATGACCATTGCAGCATCCACAGGGTCACGATCAAAATTTGAGCGCTTGGCAGCTGGCATGTATTTATGATGCAGCAAGATACATCAAACTATATGATAAAGGCTTCTGTCTGAAACTTACCGTGTTTCCCTGAAAATAAACCCTACCCCGAAAATAAGCCCTACTTAAGACCCCACTCATTCCATTGCATCTGGTTGCGCGAGGTGGGGCAAGGCCTCTGACGGCCAAACGGAGGCCAGGGGGCGCCCTGAGTGTCAATCCAGAGTTTGTTTCTCGGCTGCAGAATGGAGGCCGGGGGCGACGCGTGTGAGGCAGGTGTCGGGGTGTGGGAGGCCTGGTTGCGATGGTCCTAAGGCAGGGGTAGGCAACCTTGGCTCTTTTATGACTCGTGGACTTCAACTCCCAGAATTCCTGAGCCAGCCAGTGTTGAACCAACAATCAAGAAATAATGCTGCAATCAAGGAACTACCAACAAGCTAATGGTAAACAGTAGCCTAATCAAGGAGCCACCAACTCCCACTAACACTGGCAGGGCAAGCCATTAGTGCAGGGGTAGGCAACCTTGGCTCTTTTATGATTTGTGGACTTCAACTCCCAGAATTCCTGAGCCAGGCTGGCTCAGGAATTCTGGGAGTTGAAGTCCACGAGTCATAAAAGAGCCAAGGTTGCCTACCCCTGTCCTAAGGTAAGTGGGTAAGACACACCCCCCCCCAAAATAAGACCTGGTGCCTCTTGGAGGCAAAAAAAAGTATATAAGACCGGGTCTTATTTTCAGGGACACACTGTAGTATAGTGCTTAATACAATGGACTCCATTGTATTGTTATTTATTATTGTTTGTACGTATTAAAGAAAAAAAAGAAAAAATAGCAAGGAAAAGGAAAAAGGCTATTTGGTTTCTAATTTCCCCTTTTTGTGCCTTTGCCATTTTGTGATGTTGATAAGTAGGCCCCCTTAATATTCATCCAGAGTTTTTGTTTTATGTTTTTCAACTATCTATGTTTTACTTACTTGCAGCTAATAAATTGATATGGCTGCATGTTAGGGCTGTTCATTATTTTGGATCTGGAAGCAAAAAAATGTTTTTCCTTGGGACCTCATTTAAGTTTTTTAATGTATTTGTTTTAGAATCCAAAGTAATGCACAGTTTGACCACACATTAAAATTGTTGCTGTTTAGTCACAGTTTTAATTTCAACTGTTAATTGTTTCAGTTCTGCTTTTTATATGACATATTTGCTGAACAAGGTAAACAAATATGAGGACAATACGCTTCCTTGTCTCATTTCTATTTTAAACTTTCTTATAATAGCTTCTCATTCGTTGTAAAGATTACTAACTGATTAATCGTATTCTGATTCATTAATATGAATCATTAATACATTCCATGTTCTGACATATTCCTCTTGTATTCTCATACTCTCCATTATTTTTCTTAACACTAGCTACCTGTATCTCTTTGTAGGCATGTGCAAAATACTTCATTTGGATTTTTTTCATTCTTAAAACTTCACAATACTCCCTGTCTTGAGCATAATGGATTCCCTGAAGCATTTGGGAAAATATTTCCAATCCAAAACAGTAATTTTGCCCTTGAAGCAGGACATTTCATGAAATTTCATGTTTGAAACACTTAAAAATGAAAAGTTTTGCACATCTCTATTTTTTAAAAAACATCCTTTTTTATTTGGCATTTGTCTTTCCATGTACAGATAAACCTCAACTTACAACCATTCATTTAATGACTTTTGGAAGTTATAACAGCACCGAAAAAAGTGACTTATAGCTGTTTTTCACACTTACAACTGTTGCGGCATCCCCTGTTCATGTAATGAAAATTCGGTTGCTTGGCAACTGGCATGTATTTATGACAGTTGCAATGTCCCGGGGTCATGTGATCATCTTTTGTGACCCCCCCCCGACAAACAAAGTCAATGGGGAAGCCAGATTCATTTAACAAGTATGTTATTAACTCAACATGTGCACTGATTCACTTAACAATTATGACAAGAAAGGTTGTAAAATGGGGCAAAACTCATTTCACAACTGTCTTGCTTAGCAATGGAAATTTGGGGGCTCAATTGTGGTCGTAAAGCGAGGATTACCTATATGGCCGTTTTTTGTAAGAAGTTAAGTAAATATTTATTAGCTTGTGGGAATTTGGTAATTTCTGCATACTTTTACGTGTCCCTGTTTTTAGCACTGTATAGGTAGATACACTTTGTTTGCAACTGCCTAAGCTTCATGCAGAGATGTTAGCATTAACTACCTCTTTTCCTGCAGCTTTAAAGGATTCAGTGGGCATTTCATCTGCATTTGATGTATTCCTGTTTGAAGCTGTTCTAGCGGGTCACGTTCTTGTTGAGCTAGTTCCTAAATATATTCTCTCTCCCTTCAAATGTCTTTGTCAATTTACAATCTCTTTTGTAAACGATCCCAGTGTAGTCTTTTCATCTTCCTTGAATCTCATTTTCCCATTCGGATATTTTCTATAAGTTTTGTTGAATATTTTACCCTAGCTGAAAAATTTCCCTTGATTTCTGATTTTTTTTTCCTGGCTGCTTTTCTATTTCTTGATACTCTCCTCTATTCACAATCTTAACTTTTTATGCCTTCTTTGATATTGAATGTCTGTGTCCAGTCATCATGCATCCTTATTTCCTTCCCTTGATCTTTCCTCAGCTATCATGACATCTTGTTCTGAAAGACACTTGAATCTTCTCCTTGGTAAAATTTGGGGGTGGGTGGGGTCGGTTTGCTTATTTGTTTTTGCTTTGGTTTCCATAGATTTAGTTTTGCATAATTTAAGTATACTAAAACTGTACCGTGCACTGACCTTGTGTTTTAACTATATAGCCCAGTCTAGATCATATTTTGCCGATATACATTTTTTCTTTGGTTTTCTGTTTAACCCATTTGAATAGCAGTAATTCATGGTCTGTTTTACAACCTGCAACTGGAAGTGTCTGACTGACTGGATTGTGAATGGCAGCTAAAAGAAGATGGTAGTGATGGCAGAGAAGTGTTTGAAGAATTATTAATAAAATAAGAAACCTACCATATTTCAGCTACTGAGGCAAAATATGGATTTTTGAATGAAGTGCTGCTACTCACTCCATCATAGTGTCATCTGGATTAGAATATTAAGATGTGGTAAACTAAGTTACTTAGAGTGCTTTGAGTCTGCAGTGTCCACTTTACAAAATTCAGTAATGAATTGATAGTTTCTGTACAAAAGTATAGTTTAGACCAGTGTTTCTCAACCTTGACAATTTTAAGGCATGTGGACTTCAACTCCCAGAATTCCACAGCCAGCAATGCTGGCTGTGGAATTCTGGGAGTTGAAGTCCACATGCCTTAAAATTGTCAAGGTTGAGAAACACTGAGACTATTTGTAGATTAAGAAGGGCTCATTCTGTAATTTTGATCTTAAAGAAATCAAAGTTGCATCAAACATTTTAGATACCTTTAGAGTTGTGGGCATGATGGTCTTTAAATGTTTTATGTTGTCAGAACAAAAGGCAGATGTAGTAGAAGTCCGAAAAATGACTGTTTCCTCAAGTTCTTTTCTTCTTGCACTATCACAGAATGACCAATGCCTGCCATCGTAAATGTGTTCCTCCTCACTACAAGGAAGCTGAACTGTCGAAAGGGGAATCCGTGTGCCTGGATCGCTGTGTCTCCAAGTATTTGGACATTCATGAGCGCATGGGCAAGAAACTGACAGAACTCTCAATGCAGGATGAAGAACTGATGAAACGGATGCAGCAAGGGACTGGACCTGCCTGAAGTCCGGCTTCTGATTCTCCAACCTATCTCCACACCTTGGGTCTGGACTGGTGTTAATTCTTGCTTTTGCCAGTAAAACATCCATACTGTGTTTCCTCCACCAGCTGCTAATGGGGGTGAAGCTCTGCCTGCCTTTTTTAGGCCTAATAAATGATTATGCCTTGTGAAGGAAAACAAGCTCATCTCTGGAACCCTTTTGTTAGCTTATCCTTTCTCGTTGAATATTGGAAGCTGATCCTTTATGTTTGCCTAGTGGGCTATTTTAACACATTATCTCGCTCCACAGACTTTCCCGGCTTGTTTCCATTCCCTTGGTACACTAACAGGAAAAAAAAGAAGCAGTTTATAATTTTTCATACTTCAGTTTTCATTTAGTGAAAACACCGTTCTTTCTTAGGTATGTTCAGTATTTCAAAGTCAAGACTAGGCAGGGTACTTGAGTAGCACCTGCTTTTACTTCCTTAGAGCAGTTGCTATGTTTTTTTTCCCCTGAGATCTGTTTACAGTACTGTACACCCAACAGATTTGTAGACATGCCGTGTGCATCTCCCCAGGTGTCCCCCTTTTGCTTTTTGACGACAAAGAACTGCAGGCGTTTCTGTTTAGAAAAGTGTTTCCCTGCCTTGGCAACTTTGAGAGAAGTGGAGTTCAACTCCCAGAATTCACCAGCCAATATGACCATTGCTGGAATTCTGGAAGTTGAAGTCCACACCTTCAAGAAAATGCTGGTTTAGAATCATAAGAGCTTGAGGGGTATTAAGGGCATTCCTAATGCATTCCCTCTCCTGCAGCATGTGGAACCATTTAATTCACTTCCATAGGGAATGGGAGTGGTGCATCACGTGACACAACAACTATCTCTTAGCTAATCTAGGTAGTCAGCCAAGCTAAATGGGAGGGAAACCATCCAATTTACCAGCCAATGTCAGGAATGGGGAGGGGTGGAATCTTCCCTTGCTCCAAATTTCAGATATGAGATGTTTCAGAAGCAGACTTTTCCACAAAGGAAAAGGAACATGCTGGCCTATATGATAATGCCTGATAACATAATAGTTAAATGTTTAAGCAATTGGTATGAGCGAAGTATTTCCCGTGATTGGGCTCTTTGGTAAACTGGCTGCAGTTGCAACAGACAATCAGAAGGGGGAGCTAAAGTCTGCAACTTTGAAGGTCCCAGGAGTGCTTGGCTGGTTTGCAGATTTCAGAAAATAGGAACCCCAGTATGTGGAATTCTTACTGGACACAGGCAGAGGCCAAGTACTGTACTGAGAATTGTACACTATTTGATAAGTGATTTCTGATTCAACCACTTCTTCAAAGAAAGATTACTCAAATTATTAGCTGCTGGCTTCTTGGCTAAAATATAGCTGCTGTTCTTTGATGTTCTTACTGAACCAGCAATTTTTCATTATCTCCTGGTAGCTTTTTATTAGAGTATACAAACAATTTCTCTGTAATTTGAAGCAGAGATCCTATTTCTCTTCATGTTGTCTTAATTTTGCTGGAAATAAGATGTGGCACGTTATTGCTTTCCAAAGAGCTTTCTGCCTCAAATGCACTTGTAATTCATTGGCTGTTGAAGAATGCCTCTGTGTTTCTGCATTGTTGTGGGTGCTGCAGTCTCTAGTGTGACATTTATGAACATCCAGGTGCTTTCAGAAGCCTGCCATGGGGCTCACTATGCAATCTCTTCTCCCCCCCCACCACAGATTGACTGATATTTTTAAAAATGGTCTCTCAAAACAGCATTATTCTTTGTCTGCTTGGTGCTCCTTTCTGGGTCCCTAACGCACACACCCACTTTCATTTGGATTTCACAGCATATTTGTGGGTTGCGGAGGCTAAATTATGCCTGTTGTGGCTTGTAGGAGAAAAATGTGAAGGGGGAGGGAAAAACAGATGGAGGCCATGGGAGGAAGGTGGAAAAGCGTGGGTTGGTCCAGGATGGTGCGTTTGTGTGAGGGAGGGAGAAAAATAAAACCATGAAGAAAAAAAGAAAATGCAGTTAAATAGAAAAAATCAGTGGAAGAGGTCTGGGTTAAGGAGACCACGGGGAAGCGCAAGGAAAAAAAGATGGCAGTAAAGTGGAGGTTTACATCTCATCTGCACATGTACACACACACACACACAAGTGTGAAACAAAACTTGGTGATTGGTACTTTTTAAGGAGTGAGTTGAGCTGATTAGCATTGATTAGGCAGTAGAAGAAATGAGTTGGCTGGTGGAAGCAGAAGAACCATTTGCTTTTTTTCTTGCACTCTACGAAATGGAGGTTCTACGGAAGCAGAAAGCCATGATTTCAGTATTCGCTACCCCTCTATTTGGCACTTGATTTCACAGGCGAATTATTATTTCTCCTTTAGCCTCACTATTGCCATTCTGTGTCAGCGCTCACAGCTATTTTTATATTTTTTTAAGAAAACACCAAGTAGATCTCTGAGCCCCAAACCTTAGATATCTAACTAAGCACACTGCTACATCTTATGACCAGCAGGGGTCGGTGGTCAACAAAGTCTTGTGAGCACTACTTTATCAAACAAACAAATAAATTTTAAGGTATGGCTAATTTTTTAATGAGTCTGGTTCATAATTGGGCCCCTTAGATTTCTTTTAGACGCGCTCTACCTTTTCTAATTAAATAGCAGTACTTAGCCAGAGGGTGATTTATTCAATTAGAGCTGCTTAAAGCAATTAGACGTTATTTAAAACCACATGCTGGAAGTTATTTGGCAACCCTTGCTTGTGGTTTTATTTCTACCCAGGGTAGGAGGCGATGCTGCAGTTGCTTTCATGGATCCCTGCATGCACCCTGCGGGGGCTGGGGAGAGCAACCAGAGTTTAATACACAGCAGCAACAGCAAAATTGCAAGACATTCACAGGATTTTGTGATTGGGCAGAAGTGGGAGAAGGAAAGAGAAATGGGACCGATAACACGTTTCAAATAAGACCCGGAATTTGATTCACAACAGTTCACTTCTATTCTTTAATTTAATTTCTCTGAGAGGAAAGTAAGTACTACAGGTAGTCCTCAACTTGCAATTATTTGTTTAGTGACTGTTTTGAAGTTACAACAGCACTGAAAAAAGTGACTTATGACCGTAGTTCACATTTATGACTTGCAGCGTTCCACTTGGTCATGTGATCAAAATTCAGAAGCTTGGCAGCTGGAATGTGTTTATGAGGGTTGCAATGTCCCGGAGTCATGTGACCCCCTTTGACGACCTCCTTACAAGCAGTGGGGAAGCCAGGTTCACTTAACAATCGTGTTACTAACTTAACAACAGCAGTGATTCACTTAACTATGGCAAGGTCATAAAATGGGCAAAATTCACTTGTCTTGCTTAGCAACGCAAATTTTGGACTCAGCTGCATTTGTAAGTTGTACTCCAATTGTTAAAACTATTAGGAGTCAAAAACAGATGTTCATGCAGATGTTTGCCAATAGACCCAGTACTGTTCTATATATCTATGTATCTTCCATAAACTTACTTTATAGCTACTTTACAAATATAAAATATAGAGTAAAATGCATATTGTATATTTTGCCCAGATCATGCAGGTCCTGGCTTCATATTGGCTATGTACAAACTGATCCTATGTTGTAGAACAAACTAAATTCTCATCTGCGTCTCAAGATTTTTACCCACTGCTGGCCCGAAATGCTTTCAATCCATGAACTAGCAGAAGACTCTGGCATGAAATTTGCCATCCTCGTTGCCAATTCCTATCCTTGCTCTACTGTCTCTGTTTTCAAGGCCCAGCAGTCACCTGACTTCCTTCCAAACTAATGGGTAACAAAAGCAAACTATATATCATAGTTGTCACTGAACACTGTTGACTTAAGGGGAAAGCAGCACTTTCGTATAGCACAGGAAAGCTTAAGATTGTCATCTTGTGGGCTGGGAACAAGGTGAAGGTGACATCAAGAGGACACAGCAGAAAAAATGATGATGCCAGGGCATATGTGTGCTGTTGTTAGATACAAGAGGGGAAATGTCCATTCCTGCAGTAGAGGCAAGATGTCTTTCAAATTATAGATATTCCTTTTGGGGAATATGCACAAGAATCTAATGTTTTTCTTCAGCAGGCTGGGGTGTCATCAGGAGACTTTTCCCCCCCAGTCTCTCATATATGTAATTGCTTTGTATTTTCCCAATTTGGCTTTGCCTCCTATTTGATGGTTTCCTTATTTACATTTTTCCCCCTCCAGGTCCATTTCTTATGGTGGCCTATTAATCCTAAGGGTATAAGCCTCACATAGGGACAGGGTGGCTCAGCATGTCCCGTTCAGTTTAAATCTGCACTAGTGTTGATCCCCAAACCTTGTCAGCATTAGCTTTATGCTTGCCATTGTCATGTTAGCAGTACAAACCTGCATTTTCCTTATTAGGGAAATTAATAGAAACTAGTATCTTCTGCCATGGTTTCTAAATGGAAAGCAAATCCATGTTTCTTCTGCCAAGGGTAAAGCTGAACTTATGGCTCAAGCAGTCTATGTAATAATAATAATAATAATAATAATAATAATAATAATAATAACAACAACAACAACAACAACAACAACAACAAAGTTGGAAGGGACCTTGGAGGTCATCTAGTCCAACCCCTGCTCAGGCAGGAAACCCTATATGATTTCAGATAAATGGCTGTCCAGTCTCTTCTTAAAAACTTCCAGTGTTGGAGCATTCACCGCTTCTGGAGGCAGAGGTTGTTCCACTGGTTAATTGTTCTCACTGTCAGGAAGTTTCTCCTTAGTTCTAGGTTGCTTCTCTCCTTGATTAGTTTCCATCCGTTGCTTCTTGTCCTGCCTTCAGGCGCTTTGGAAAATAGCTTGACTCCCTCTACTTTGTGGCAGCCCCTGAGATATTGGAACACTGTATCATGTCCTCCCCTCGTCGTTCTCTTCATTTACAGATCAATTAAGCTTAGAGCCACATCTCTTGGTTTTTTTCACCTATTGTGGCATCGCCATTCTTTGTCCATCCCTTGACCTTAACCATCAAAATGCTTTTTCTGTATTCAGGGGCATGCAGATCCTGGTTCACATTACTTTACTCATTAACCACTTCTAAATCTCCAACCCTGTCTTTTAAATAATCAGATAGCCGAGTTGCTACCCCTCTATTCAATTCAGTGAGAGAGAATTACTTCATAATTACTTGCTTATGCTCAGCAA